AACATATTTGCCAATGTTATCACCGATAAGGGTTTAATCTCCGACATTTATAGGGAACTCATACAACTTAACAAAAGGAAGATAAACAATCCAATCAAAAAATGGGCAAAGGACCTATATAGACACTTTTCAAAAGAGGACATTCAGAAAGCCAAGAGACATATGAAAACATGCTCAAAGTCACTAATCATCCGAGAGATGCAAATCAAAACAACAATGAGGTATCATCTCACACCTGTCAGAATGGCTATCATCAACAAATCAACAAACGGCAAGTGCTGGAGAGGATGTGGAGAGGATGCAGAGAAAAGGGAACACTCGTGCACTGCTGGTGGGAATGCAGACTGGTGCAGCCACTATGGAAGACAGTATGGAGTTTCCTCACAAAGTTAAAAATGGAACTCCCATTTGACTCAGTGATCCCACTTCTAGGAATATATCCCAAGAAGCCAGAAACACCAATCAGAAAGGATATATGCACCCCTATGTTCATAGCAGCACAATTCACCATAGCTAAGATTTGGAAACAGCCTAAGTGCCCGTCAGCAGATGAGTGGATTAAAAAACTGTGGTACATCTACACAATGGAATACTACGCTGTGGTAAAAAAGAAGGAACTCTTGCCTTTTGCAACAGCTTGGATGGAACTGGAAAGCATTTTGCTAAGTGAAACAAGCCAGTCAGAGAAAGATAAATACCACATGATCTCACTCATTTGTGGACTATAGAGAACAACATAGACTGATGAACAGGGACAGATCCAAAGACAGAGAAACAGCAATCAGACTATTAATCCCCAGAGGGAAAGTAGGGGAGAGTGGGGGTAAGGGGAAGAGATCAACCAAAGGACTTGTATGCATGCATATAAGCCAAACCAATGGACATAGACAACAGGGGGATGAGAGCATGAGTGGGGGGGGGGGGGATTGCGGGGGTTAATGGGGGGGAATGAGGACACATTTGTAATTCCTTAACTAATAAAGAATTTAAAGATAAAGAAAAAAAAGGAAAAAAAGATAAAAACAATATGTAATTATATATGTGTTTTCTGATGGTTTTAAGCCACCCCTGTGAAGGGGTCGTGACCCACAGGTTGAGAACCGCTGCTTTAAGTTAAGAAACACCATACTTTAAAGACTTAAAGGCAGGATGTGCTGCTTTCAAAAAAGCTTGAAGAAAGTTTGAATGGATGAGTCAAACTTTCCTCTAATAAAATGCCACAACAAAAGGTTTGTCTTTTTATATGTAGGGCAAAAAAACAATTAATAGGTTGTTTGGTTACAAATCGAAAACTTGAAAGATTCTCACTCTGACAAGTTTTATTCTGTTTTGACAGTGTCACTTTAAACATTCGGAAAGAAACGTGAAGTTAATTGTAAGTTCTCTATTTTAAGAAATTATTTTAAACCCTGGTCGAGTAGCTCAGTTGGTTAGAGCACCGTTCCCATATACCAAAGTTGCCCATTCCATTCCCAGTCAGGGCACACACAAGAATCAACCAATGAATGCATAAATAAGTGGAACAACAAGTCTACATTTCTCTCTCTCTCTCTTTCTCTCTCTCGAATAAAAAATATTTTTTAGAAAATTATTTTATAAATGATCCTAAAATATGTAAATCTTTAAGTTGTTGTTTTAAACAGACAGCTATCAAATTATCAAAAGTTATTTAGTTCCTAGACTTTCTTAGTTCATTTAACCCTCCTTAGGAGCTTTTCAGCCCCAATCCTAATCTTCAAAGTAAAATAAAATACAGTCTATTTTAACTACTTGTACTCAATAGTGAAATGAAGGCAAAGACTGCAACATAAATTAGACTTGAGATTCACTATAGATTTCAGATGGCGAAATTTATTCCTCTTTTAAGAGACACAAAAAAGGGTACCTACACCAAACTTGTACAAATGTGTTTATAGAAGTATTATTCATAATAGCCAAGAACATCAAACAAGGCTATGTCCAAATCTCAGTTAACAGAAAACAAAAGATAACTTTAAAATGCTAGTATATAATTTGTAATTAAGTTCAACTTTCAAAACACATTCATGCATAAAAAATGTGCAAAACATTTTAAGAATGTCAATTTAAATGATTGCTAATTGCTATTGTAAAACCTAAATTCTAAAACTGATAGGCTAAATCAAAAATTCATATGGAAATGCAAGGGATCCAGAATAGACAAAATAATCCTGAACAAGAACAAAGTTGGAAGACTCATACTCCTGATTCCAAACTTACTACAGAGCTATAGTAATCAAAACAACGTGGTACTAACATAAGACAATGGAATACAACTAAAAATCCAAAGATAAACAAACCCATACATGTATGCCCAACAATTTTCGACAAGGATGCCAAGACTATTCAATGAAGAGAGAAGATGCTTTTCTTTATTCTTTTTTTTTAATATATTTGTATTGATTTCAGAGAGGAAGAGAGAGGGAGAGATAGAAACATCAATGATGAGAGAGAATCATTGATCAGCTGCCTCCTGCACGCCCCCCCTACTGGGTGGGGATGGAGACCGGAATCAAACCCAGGCAAACAGTCTACCCAATGAGCCAAACCAGCTAGGGCGAAAAAGGATGCTTTTCAACAAATAGTGCTGGGACAACTAGATATTCACATGCAAAGAATGAAATTGGACCTCTTGCTCCTACCACACACACAAATTAACTTCAAATGATCACAGACCTAAACATAAGAGCAAAAGCTATAAAAACCCACAGAAGAAAACAATGGAATTAAATCTTTGTGACCTTGGAGAGTATCTGAGATCTTGCTCCACAGCATATGTTGCCAGTTTGGCTGAAATAAACTCTTATAAAAAACCCTCCCCCCTCCCCCAAATCTTTGTGACCTTGGTCTAGGAAAGACCTCTTAGATAAACAACAAAAACATAACTGATAACAGAAAAATTGGGACTTCAAGACCATCAAAATTAAAAACATCTGTGCTTCAAAGTACACCATCAAGAAAATGAAAAAGACAACCCACAGAATGGGAGAAACTATTTACAAAGTCATATATCTAATAGGAGACATGTACCCAAAATATAAAAAAATACTCTTACAACTCAATAATAAAAAGACAAACCAATCTAAAAATGGGCAATGAATCTAACCATTTTGCCAAAGAAAATACATAAATGAGCAATAAGCACATTAAAAGATGTTCAACATCATTAGCCACCACAGAAATGCAAATCAAAACCACAATGAGATACTACTTCATATCCATCCACTGTAATGAAAAGGACAGATAACTAGTATTGTCCAGCACGTGGAAAAATTAGAACCCTCAGACATTGATAGTGGAATTGTAAAATAGTGCTGCCACTCAGGAAAAGTTTGGTGGCTCCTTGAAATATTAAACAGAGAATTACCGTGTGAACCAGCAATCCCATTTCCAAAAGAAATGAACATATATGTGCACACAAAAACTTGTAACGAAGTGTTCATAGCAGCATTATTCATAATAGCCAAAAAGTAGAAACAACCAAATGTCCATCACTGGTAATGGATAAATAAAATGCCATATATATATATAAAAAATGGAATTCTTAGCCATATAATGGAACCAAGTACTGACACTTGCATGCTACATCATGGATGAACCTGGAAACAAGCTAAAAGAAGCCAGTCACAAAGGACCACATATATGACCCCATTTATTTAATATGCTCAGAACAGATAAATCTGCAGAGGCAAAGATATACCGATTAGTTGCTGAGGTATGAGGAAAATGAGTAGTGACTGCTAATGGATACAGGGATTCTTTCTGAAGTGATAAAATTGTTCTAAAATTCACTGTGGCGATGTCTGCACAACTCTATAAATATACAAAAAAAATCCTTGAATTGTAACAGCTGAATGGGTGTATTGTATGGTACGTTTTAGGGGGGAGGGGGGGGGAGACACCTTATGTGTAGTATTTATGTTGCTTGGACAACAAGGTAGATACAAAACCAATAACTATGAACTGATTTGATTACTAAACAAGTTCATCCCTGAGACACTTAGAAATAAGTATTTAAGGCACAATCCTGATTCGCTGGAAGATTACTCCTTTAAATATTTCTAAATCTTAACATGGAACTGCAGTACTTGCAACTGTCAAGACATAAAATGAGATTCACCCGAGACACCGGGGTAAACACGTTCCTTTCCTGTCCATGGCTGAACTGTACTTCCCATGACAGCAAACAATAACCGCGGCGCACACTCCACCGGGAGGGAGAAGCCCTTCCCACAAGAACCTAATCCTAATACTCAGCTAACAGCGGGGTGTGGGGAGAATGAGGAAGGGGAGGGAGCACGGGGCAAGGGGAAGTCTCGGTGCACTTAAGCCCCAGGAATCCAGGAACATTAAACTCCACTTTTATACGCTTTGTGGGCAGGCCCAGAGGCAAAGTCCTGGGCGCTGACCGGCGAGCCCAACTGCGAAGCCGAGAGGAAATGCTGCGCCGGCCCCAGCGCGCACGGGGTTTCGTGTGGATTTCGTGTGGAAATGGTGGGGGGCCAAAGGGCTCAGATGGGGGCCTGCGGTGCGGGCAGGAGGCGCGCTCCCTCCACCCGGCCGGGGCCCGCGCTCGTCCTCCGCGCGCAGCTGGGAGCGGCCGCGCCGCGGGCCCGTCGCGCGCCTCCCCGCCGCGAGCACGCCCGGCGCCCGGAGCCTCCGGTGGGGCCGGGTCCCGTCTCCCGCCTCATCCGGCGCTTTGTCCCAGCGCGGGCGGCGGGCGGCTCGTCGGCGTCCCCGCCCCAGGCGGAGGGGCCCGCGCTGACAGCCCTCTCTGCCCCCACTAGGGCTGCGAGTCCGGGCAGCCGCCGACTCGTCGCCCGCCGGGCTTCATCCAGGCGGGACCCAGCAGGCGGCGGTCCGAGGACTCGCCCAGCCCGCGGAACCGACGCCGCCGCGGCCCCAAGCGCGCCCAGGCCGAGGTCAGGCGCAGAAAGCCTTGGACTCCGAAACCCACACCATTTCCAGCATCCTCCTCTTACCCAAAAATTCTCGACGAAATGCGCCATGACCATCGTGCCGCTGCCGCCGCGCCGGGTTCTGCGTCCGCGCCCGCCCGCCGCTGTGTAAACACGGGCCCGGCCCCCACGGCGCCCCCGCCTTTCAGCGCCACCGCCTTCTTCCCAGAGCCCAGCCCGCACCCTCCAGGGCGCATGCGCCACCTAGCGGCCGCCGCTGCGGGGCGAACTCCTGGACGCCGCGGCCAGTGCGCGCATGCGCCCCGCGTCCCATCCCGGGGTTTAGTCCCCTCTTCTATCCCTGGCGCGGGCGGGGCTCGCCTGAGCGTTCTCTTGGGAATGGTGGGGAGCTGGTCTGCGAGGACTCAGCGGGGAGGCTGCCCGCACCCTTTGCGGCGCGATGGGTACTGGCCTTGCGACTGAGCTGAGGAGGGGCCGGCCGGCGGCCGTGGAGCCGGCAGCCTGGCTGCCCGCTCTCTTTCTCCCCCCAAGACTCGCCTCCCCCGCTTCGAGGATCCCGAGGACCCCGGTGGATGCCAAGTCTGAGCCAGCTGGAATGGAGGAAACTTGGCCGTGAGCCACCTGGAGGGGACTCTGAGAAACCTTTGGTCGACAGGGTGCCTTTCCTTGACCGGGAACTAAGAACCAAAACAAAACTTTCCGAGGCCGGAAAAGGAGGAAACGCCCAGTGTCGCCAAAGAGCCATTGGAGCTGAGCGAGACTCGGGCACCGAGTCCATGACCTCTAGCCCGCCCGCCCGGAGCGAACCGGCTGCAGGAACAAACGCAAAAGCAACGCATTGCCCTGACCCAGGCGGCTTAAAAAAAAAATCTCTGCCAGGACTTGTCCGTATAAGTCCATGGCTCTCTTAGCAACTTGCACATTTTGTAAAAAGAAACAAGTTTGAACATGCCTCAGCATAACAGAAAAACTAAATCCCCTTCCCACGCCTTGCTTCCGAAGGTTAAGGGGGGGAAAATTAAGCCTTTGTGGAAAGGTCTCTAATTCACTACCACCAGGCCAGCAGCTCTTAAAGCCAACCAAGCCCCAGAAACAGTCAGCGTAGCTTCAATCATAAAAACACGTCACACCTCCTCAGATCTTGTGACTTCAAACAACATGAACACAACACTGTTTCTTCATTGGAAATTATTTTCATCCTCAGAAGTAAAAACCACATGGTGCCTCTAATGTGGATGAAACTATAAAGTGTTTGTTGAAATTGGGAATAATTGGAAAATGATACTGTATCTTTTATGTGTATATATATATATAATTTTCTTATTAATTTGAGAGAGAAAGAGAAGCATCAATTTGTTGTTCCACTTATTTATGCATTCATTGGTTGATTCTTGGTGTGCCCTGACCAGGGATGGAATGGGCAAACTTGGCATAACCAGACGATGTTCTAATCAACTGAGCTCCCCGGCCAGGGCCTATTTGTTTTTAAGAATATCTTTTAGCCCTGGCCAGGGAGTTCAGTTGGTTAGAAGGCCAACCAGATACACCAAGGCTGCGGGTTCCATCTCCAGTCAGGGCACATACAAGAATCAACCAATGAACACACAACTAAGTGGAACAACAAATTGACATCTCTCTTCCTCTCTCCCTAAAATCAATCTATTTTTTTAAAAAAGAATATCTTTTAGAAACATATAGGATATAGTGATATAAGACATCTAGAATTTGCTTAAAAACTCGTGGAGGGAGGGAGGATGACTAGGAGTATAGATGAGGTCTGATTGACCATGAGTTATCCATTGTTGGAGCTAGGTAATGGAAACATGGTGGTTCACTATACTGCTCTCTTTTTGTATATGTTTGCTATTTCCTTCCTTTAGAAAGTCTTCATAATATTGTCATCAACACCTAGTTTGGGGGAAAGTCAAACTTAGAAATATGCTACAATTCTCTAAGCCATTAGTCTAGCCCTATCTTTCATCATGCTGAAGAAATTCTAGAAAAAATGCAGCTGTCTAGATCTCCATGCAAATGGGGTTGGCATTAAATTGCCTGTATCACTAAGCACTTAACTCTGGACCCATGCTTTCAAGAACCTTACATATCATAAATGCACATATTTATTTAAAAAACACCTGGGTGCCTCTGCCACTCCTGGTCTAATGTTGAACACTGGCCCACAACCATAAATACCCTCTCCCCTAACCGAAGCTATTTGGCCCCAGGGGAAAACTTCCTATCTCTTGCCTTGTGTCTTCAAATCAAAAAGTGGACTCGAACTGCACTGAAAATTTGTAGGTGGTAGAGCTGCCCATTTCAGAGATAAGCTGCTGTGGAGTTCAGGCAGAATCTGAGTAGCAGAAGTGCTTAGGTTAAAAAAAAAAAAAGAAGAAGAAGAAGAAGAAGAAGACAAATATTTAACTTGTGAAATTCTTCCTCTCGGCTTAAATGCCATAGATGCTCCCAGAGCAAAAGATTGTTTTGCACAGCATAGTTGTGTCAAGCACATGTTCCTTCTCTTAGTGTTCCAAATTGTGCTCCCAACGCTGATAATTTACCGTAGTACGTATTCAAATGGTTGCATGTGGTACACTGGCCTCCCTTTGTACTCTTATCTCTGATCCCATAAATATCACGTAGGCCTGCCACAAAGACAAATATCCTGTGTATTTCGGTTATTTGCAAGGTTTATTAGGGCCAGAACACCATATGCTGTAATTGTCTGGTATTTAAATTGTGGGACTTTATGGTAAATAGTTATTAAGGTTACTAAATTTCAGACAGGATGGAGCAGTAGAAAAAGAATGTGGGTGGTATCAGCCACCTTCTGTCCTCTCGAGTGAGGTTTCCAGGGATGCACATATACTCAGAATGTGGGTGGTATCAGCCACCTTCTGTCCTCTCGAGTGAGGTTTCCAGGGATGCACATATATTCTGGCAGAGCATAGATAAGGTCCTGAGGGGTAGCTCACTCATTTGCATTGAAGTATTTGTGCCACACACACACTTACCCTTGCTTATCCAAAGAGATTCTGAAATTATTAAAAACTGACATAGATAACAGCAGTGTTCCACTCACTGCCTGTAATACCTAGTACTTAAGAGTCAGTCCCTCAGTAAATGTTCAGTGAAAGAATGGATGAATGATTGAGCCTATAATAGAAATGCCCAGATGCATGAGACTTTAGATATACAATAAATCCATTCTTCTTTTACTCATACTTTTAATTGGTGCTAGATCTTAAAACCTAAAAAAATATTATTATTTGAGTTCTACTTGATTTAATTTTCTACATTCTTTTAACTATTTTCAAAAGATTTCTTTTGGGCTTGAGTATACTTTGTAAAGGATAAGCTACCTTTTGTAATAAAAATAAAATTGAAATAATATTCAAGATTGGCTCTAGCAGATCTTCCATTGGAAGGGATCCCTAAACAATTTAGCCTACAAATTTTGGGTGCCTCCATCATCAGATTCATCTTCCTCTTAGAATCTCTCCCTAATTATACCTGCTATCAACATGTTGGCTTCCAGAGGATGCTGTTGGTCCCTATTAAACTGGGCCCAAGATGCATGTTATAGCCCAGAGCATACCTGGACTGCTCAAGCATAACTTGGTAAGTGGTGGCAAATAAGAGAGGGGACATTAACACAACATAACCTAAATCTAAATTCTCTAGTTTACAAAATATGGCTTGTCTCCAAGAATTGAGGGCAAAACACCCAGAGAACTTCCCTCTTTTCATCCCTTAGTTTGATCTCCCATTTCCAAACCTGGTTTACAGCTCACCGCACATTAATGAACATTTAGTTACAAAGGTCATTTCCTCATTATTTCATTTAAAACTAGTTCTATCCCAGAAGAGTTGACAATAAAATAAAACTCATTTTCGCATTATTTTTAATATAACATTGCAAATGTACTTCCACTTGTTTCCAAGAGGAATATGGCAGAGGAGATGCTCCTATAAACCTCTCCTGCTCCCTGATAATTTCTTCAAGGTACAGCATCCTGTGTCAGACACCGTAGTTCTTCTCTCTACTCATCTTGCACTTGACAATAACAGATGGCAAAAGACCTAAGCTCCATGGAAAGGCAGAAGAGAAACAGGCAGATCCCTGAAGTCTAGTGTTCTCTTGTTTTTCCCTACTCAAATAGCAGCATATTAAAAGCAAACGCTTTATGCAAGAGAGAAAGAAAAGCAAAAGCTTCACAGATAGTATCCAGGCAGGAAGGGAGATAGGAACAAGTTAATCAAACTGCAAAATGGAGCTAAAGCCCACCCTCCACGCACTCTTCTCTGTTCAGAGCAGCTTGCTAGGTATACCTTTCTCTCCTACGTGCACCTGGGAATGACTGTGTGTTCCCTGATGTGGCATCATTTCTTCCTCCAGGATGCGATGTGCTTTACCAGGGACTCTCTTACCTTTCTGTCCATGGAGGAAGCACAAAAACACCTACAAATGTTCAAGGGTTTACACTGCTAGTAATCGCATGGAACCCAAGATGGGTTTCAAAAATCAGAAAACAGAAATTTCTAAATTACAGGAAGTCATAAAGGTGATGCTAATGTAAAAACTTACATTAATGTCTGCCATTAATATTAAGTGGAAAGGCAGAAGGTGACATGGAAAATACATTAAAATTACAAATATGTAAAAATATGCATGTAAATAGAGAAAAAGAAACATGGAAAAATGTATATGTGCTAGAGTATTGAGAGTATGACAATTATTAAACAATTATATTTTATTTTAATGTAATAACATAGTAAGATATAAGGAACAATCACTGTTCTTTGTTTTTGTTTAAATATAAGTATAACTGAGCCAAATCTTCCTTAAAACTTTCACTAACTCTCTCCTCTTATTCAGGCAATAAGCAATTATTGAGTCTTTAATACAATGAAAAGACTGTCTCTGCTCTTAAGAAATTAAAAATCTGCCTGGCTGGCATGGCTCAGTGGTTGCCCTTTGACCTATGAACCAGGAAGTCACAGTTCAATTTCCAATCCATCAGGGCACATGGTTGCAGGCTCGATCCAGGCTCTATCCCCAGTGTGGAGCTTGCAGGAGGCGCAGATCAATGATTCTGTCTTATCATTGACTAGAGGCCCAATGCACAAAATTCATGCAAGGGGCTCGGCCCCCGCCTCTGCAGCAACCACCTCTGCCTCGCCTCTGCCTTGGCCCCCGCCACAGTGGCTTCGTCTGG